GTGCCCAGGCAGGTAAAGAACGACCTGATGCACCTTTACAGCGGGCTGAACTCTGCAGCCGTCGGAAATACAAACCCAGCGTCTACAGCCAACACGAGCCCCGTACTATGAATGAAACGACACAAAATGAGAAACCATACACACTTACACGAATGATTACATTCTTCTCAACACATCTTATTCTGCTCTCTTAGCTTAAATCCATTTTTAATGTTTTTTTATATCCCAGGAGGAAATGATGGCAAAATCACCGTAAAGATGAAAGTGCATGTTTTAAAAGTACTTGATGTGTGTATGTGTATGTTTGTTACAGATAAGTCCAATAAGAAAGTTAAACATTCATGTGCAAAAAAGAGTTCCAATTATGACTTGAATCCAGAAGCAGGATGCGTGGGGTTTTGTAGCCATCCAGCGGCGGCAGTGACGAAGCGCAGGAGAAAGATCTGCGGTTACACTCGCTGTCCGCAGGGAGAGCACAGAGCAGCAGGGCGGGGACCCGAGTTCTAACCTCCGCTCCGCCAGCCAACCGGTTAAGCGTCCCCAGTAAGAGAACAGTTGTTTTAGACTTGCATTTCCTCAGCCGGCAGGTGCGGGGGAGGCTGAGCTGGAGACCCTTGGGGGCCTCCTCCGCGCCTGAACATCTAACTTATCTTCGGATGAGGCGCCCCTGGCAAGGGCAACTCACTTTCAGGGGGATATGCAGAAAGGTCTCTGCTCAGCCCGCTACCCTTCTCTTTTGGTTCTTTCATCATAATAAAGCACGGGGAGGCATTACAAACCTCCAAAGGTACTTAGCAGGGAAAGGGCATGTGAAGAACACGTGTGATGGCCAGGGAAAGCCCCCACAGCCATGGGCGCGAAGAAAATGCCGATGGCGGGTGGGGAAATGAGAGCGACTAAGCAGAGGCGTACATCATTAGTGGATGACTAATGACCATTCCACCCCACCCACCCACCCCACGAAAAAGTATAAAGTCTCATGATATCCAAGAACATTCTTGGTACTTAGGGTCCGTGACCATGTAATAGGGCCTGACATGGGTATCGGGATGAGAAGTCAGACTTCTGGGGGTTTTTGTGTTGTTGTTGTTTTGGGTTATTTTTAAGGATTCCCTCTAAATTGTTAAAATGCTTTTTTCTGAAGATAATGTCACTTTCATCATTTAAATCAGGCCTAGATAAAATGAACCACTTGCCATGGGCTCTGTTTCACACCCTATAGTTTACTTACAGCTGTATACATAGATAGATACTTAGATGTCATATACTAGCTCTGGCCCCAGTGTGTACGTGTGTGCCTATACAGGCGTCCACACCTACACTATGACCCTAGACTGGGACGCTCATTTATAATAATCTCAACAATTCTCATCGACGAGCTTTGACCCATTAATTCCCCGGTAGGTGACTCTGCTGGGTCTAACCAGGACTCCGTGGTTCGGCCGACAGGTAAAGTAGCGCTTGTCACCCACGGCGCCATCGTTTCTCCCCTTGGCACTTCGAAGCTCAAGTCCGAGCCAGATGCCTGACGCAAAGTCTGTGGGGCCCACGTACCTAACGGTGCCCATCTCATTAGAGCTGGCGAGGAGGACCTGAGCCCCCTCCGGCAGCTTCACGGCCCCTTCCACCGCGGTCGCCGTGCTGCTCCAACTACGGCGCAGGGCAGGCCTGGATCTGTGCGGGGGAGAGGAAGGGAAAGGCTTAGCC